ACAAAAGGTTAGGGATAGAGTTTCACTTCACATCGTGATGATTTTCAGTTTTTATGAAGTTGCTGTTGATGATGCAGTAACATCCCTGTATGGTGCTTACCATACCTTTAGTCTCTGCTCTAGAGAGGTAATGTACTTCTCCAAAAGATAGTCCAGTTCTCTAGCATATGTGGATAATTTGATATCAGATGGCAGGAAGACCATAACATGTCATTGCATCTCTGTTGAATGGCATGCTTTTGGGACTGAGGCTGTCTGCTGTGGGATCCATGTGCTTCCTTTCCCCTAGTGTAGGAGTCTCAGCAAGAGACACAAACAGGGAAACTTCCAAAATCCACTTGAAAGTCAGAAAAGCAATTAAAAAACACTTTCCAGATTGCTCATCCCTCCTGTGTCTCTGGTTCTCCATAGCATCTATTAAGGAACACAGGATTGATAGTTCATCATTAAATCTGTTCCTAACACTGGCAGCTGTACTGTATATATCCAGTTCAGGCAGGTTCACAAGTCCCCTGTCCTGTGTGCCACCATTCACTGCAGGTGAATTACAATTGGATTAAAATACCCACTGCAATGAGCCTTGTTACCCAAACAAGAGAGGCTTTCAGATCAACATGAATACATCTTCCTAATTTTTATTTCAGACCTCTTTTGTCTTAGAACAATGTATCTCTTTTAATTGTGTATTCAGATAAATGAATTGCAGCTCACTTTGACTGTCCAACAGCTGTCCTTTTTCAGTTAAACTCCCTCTTGAAGGCTTACTTCTTTTATAAGGCTCACAACATGTAAATCAAAACCAGTATTACTAGTCAAGCCATGGTTTCATTTCACTATTTCCCCATGTACTGTTTTGCCTTGAACAAAATTAGTAGAGCAGAGACTCCTCAGTAATACGAAAAATATTACCAACATTTCAGCAACAATAGCTAATTCCAAATAGTAGTTCAGACATTACCGAGAAGTAGTTGAAGAAATGACGTTTAATTTATTCATTGGTGAAGCCTATTGTGTGATATTTGCATTGCATTTCATTTCCTTCTGTTACAGAGGAGCCATCTATTTCTAGGTGGGATTCTCTACAGTGAAGAACAAATCAGCTTCGATTGAAGTTGGTATAAAAGTGTTTAAAAGCATGTGGAAAGACCACAAGAGCAGGCAGATCCGGGTTCTTGATGCCGTTATTAAAAAACATTCATCATGAGGGATCTGGTTCTCCTAAATTGTTAGGCACAAGTAATTCAAGGGAATCTTATCAAAGACTGCATGTTAGTAATCTGGTCTTTATGGAAGCAAGGATTGTTTAATACACTCCAGAGGCAGAAATTGGTGTAAGGAAGAAGAACCACTCCTAATAAACTTACAGAATTAAAACAGAACAAAAGAAAAAAGTATAATAAAAAAAGAACCAAGAGGTTGGTATTGTGTGGCAGAAGAGCATATAAACTATGTATTAATACAACAGTTCATGTTAATTCCTTGTGGTTGAAAGATGTGAAAAATTACAAGTAGTAAAATAGCCAAATGTATATGTTAATATCTGAGTGTAGAGCATTTATAAATCTTCTCTCTTGAGGTGACTAGAACAGTCTATTTCTATAGAATCTGCAATTCACAACAGGGAAATAAAATCACCAGGAAAAAAAACCTGTCAGTATTCAGCATCAGAAAAGATTTAACGAATTATCTCTTTCTCATCACAATCAAATTTTATCTTAAAGACTGTATGGGTTGTTTTCATCACCCTAGACAAATATAGACATTATTTCACAATCAATATTATCTAAACTTTTGAAAACAAAATTTGTGCTTGTTTTTGTAGAGCAGTTCAGTTTGCTCATGTTAAGGGAGTCAGAACGGGCTGTAACTGTTGTCTGCAGCATAAATGCTAACTTCACCCTGGAGGAATGGAGCTGCTGCCAGTAAATGGCAGTAATTCCCTTCCTGGCTGATAGCTGTTGAAGGCTGTTCTCTTCCAAGATGAATAAAGACACTGTTAGCATTACTACTTCTGAACTTTGCAGCCTCCTTTTTAAATTGTGATCAAATTTAATTTGATTTCAAGATAGAATATTGTCACCTTATGCATATTTTTTTTGCACTACTGTTTTTGAAGATGGTAGTTTATAATCTTTTACAATGTATTGCATTCCAAAGTTCCTGCAAGTATTAAAGTACCTGGGTTTTCATTAAAGCATGAGACACTATTTCTAGTGTTCTAGTGTAAAATGTGTTAGTCAGTTGCCCCTAAACCATGTTTCAAGTCTGAAGTAAGAACTGTCTAAATTCAATTTAAGTCAATGTTTTTATGCATTGGGATTAGCAGTACTACTACTAAGACTTTAGTACCTGGGTAACTTTGGGGACAGAAATATACTCTGTGTGCAGCACTGTGACCCACAGAATAGGATTGACAACAAGAAATATGAAGAAAATCTAGATTTAATAAAATATTTGGGGTTTTTTGTACTGAAAAGGGAAGTACTCTTGGAATGTGTTGCAAGCATTTTTTTCTTATGTACATCCCTTAATAAGGATTATATGTAGCCTTAAGCACATTCATTGCCTTAGGAAAAAAATTAAGATAACAGAATACTTGCTGGTGTTACTCATACCCAGATACTCTTTGAAATATCTTTACTCTTCAGCATGTGTTTATAAGCATTTTTATTTGATTGTGAGATTTCTTTCTTTCATTCTATATAAGAGGGGTCTTATGCTCTCAGTATGTTTTCTGGTTTGTTTTTGGTTTTTTTTTTGAAGAAGTGCACGCTTTATTATTAATAGGATTACACTGCAGGCTTATTCAATTATCATCTGCAGATTTTATATAAGCATTAATTAAAATAGATAAAAATTTTCATGGTTAATGATGCATTAACATTGTTCAAAAAACTTAAAAGTGGATAAAATAGCATATGACATAATTGTGCCTAAAAAAAAATGTATGTAACAACAAAAACACTTGATGTTAGACACAATTCTTGGTCAGCAAAATTTGAAAATAAAACTACAAGAAATTATATTTGCAAAATTCTTGAATAAATGATTGCTACTTGCCATGTGAAGCTTAAGGGCAAACATTTATTGTGGGGATTCAGGTGCTCTGTTCTGTTGACACTGAGTATTGGTTTTAAGTTTGACCCTTAAAGCAGTAGAGATTAATGAAAAATTAGTTTAGATTAGGAAGTTTCAGACTACCCAGATATTTGCCTATACATTTTCAGCACAGCACTTCTTGCAGGTTATTATTCTTTCATACAAATCCCAGCATCTGCATGCTCCACACACTATGAAAAGATATGTTTCATGAACTGTGAACAGCTCTTTTGTTAGCATGTGCCTTGAAGGAGCCACAGTGTATGCACAGGAGCATGAGGCTCTCGCCAGTGCCTGAAAGGGCCGTGTGGTTACCCACAGCTTCACTGGTAGGAATGTTTATTGGCAGTAGAACTGTAAGGGTTGGAAGGGACCTTAAAGCTAGTTTCAACCCCCTGCCATGGTCAGGGACACCTGCCACTAGACCAGGTTGCTCAAAGCCCCATCCAGCCTGGCCTTGAATGCTTCCAGAGCATCCTGGGGCATCTACAACTTCTCTGGGCAACCTGTTTGAGTGCCTCGCCAACATGACAGCAAAGAATTTCTTCCTAATGTCTAATCTAAATCTATCCTCTTTCAGCTTAAAGCCATTCCAGTTTTTATTATCACAACATGCCTTTCTAAAGTCCCTCTCCAGATTAATTGTAGGCCCCTTTTAGGTACTGGAAGGCTGTTAGAAGGTCTTCTGGAGCCTTCTCTTCTCCAGGCTGAAAAACACCAGTTCTCTCAGGCTGTCTTCATAGGAGAGGTGCTCCAGCCCTTTGATCATCTCCATGACCCTCCCATAGACTTGCTCCAATAGATCCATGTCTGTCCTATATTGAGGGGACCCAGAGCTGGATGCTGGAGCTCCAAGTGGGGTCTCACAAGAGTGGAGTAGAGGGGGAGAATCCCCTCCTTTAACCTGCTGGTTACACTTCTTTTGATGCAGTCTAGGATATGGTTGGTTTTCTGAGCTGTGTGCGCACAGTGCTGGGTCATGTTTTGCTTCTCATTAACCCACAACCCTAAGTATGCCTTCTTGGGGCTGCTCTCAATCCATTCTCTGCCCAGCCTGTATTTGTGCTTGGGTTTGCCCTGCCCCAGGTGTAGGACCTTGCACTTGACCTTGTTAAACTTCATGAGGTTGGCATTGGCCCACCTTTCAAGTGTGTCAGGGTCCCTGGGGATGGCATCCCTTCCCTCCAGTATGTCAACTGCACCGTATAGCTTGGTGTCATCAGCAAACCTGCTGAAGCTACTCTCAGTCCCACTGTCCATGTTGCTAACAATGTAAAGCAATGCCAGTCTCCATACCAACCCCTGAGGAACACCACTCGTCACTGATCTTCACTTGGACATTGAGCTGTTGACCACAACTCTTTGAGTGTGACCATCCAGCCAATTCCTTATCCACAGCATGGTCCACCTGTCAAATCTATGTCTCTCCAATTTAGAGACAAGGATGTTGTGCAGCACAGTTGTGTTGAGTCATGGGTGTAAGGAGCTTGTGGTTTTTCAGGGCCCAAAGTGTGTTGTGCAGTTTTTATCACATTTTTTTCTCTTTTTTGTATTTACTTTCCTATGTTTAATTTGTCTTCATTTCTTCCATGTTGTCCTGGTAGCTGCTTTGGTAGTATGTGTTAGGCAGGTCATTCTTCTAATTGAGGATATAAATGTGGGACTTCAGTGAAAATTATGTAATGGTAGACCTCGTACTGGTCCTTGAGAAAATTATTTTTCTTAGTACCTTACTTGAGAAAAAACAGCTAATAAAGAACGGGGTAATAACAAAGCAACCACATAACACTACTGAAAATACTGTATAAAATGTTGAGAAAATAAAGTACTTTACTACCTGAAGAAAATGTAGATGTACAACATGCGTGTTAATGCTTCCTTATTTTCTCTTGAAGGATCGACGCTTTAATGATGAGATCGACAAACTGACTGGATACAAGACAAAGTCACTCTTGTGCATGCCCATAAGAAACAGTGATGGAGAGATTATTGGTGTTGCCCAAGCAATAAATAAGACTCCCGGTGGTGCCCCTTTTTCTGATGATGATGAAAAAGTAAGATTACTTTTACTTTTGTATTTTTTTTTTTCAAATTTCTTATGTGACTTGGTAAACTCTTCTAAAGATACTTAATCCAAATAAGTAAATGGTACAGTGCTTGCATTAATGATGGCTTTTTTATAAGTCCTTAACATAAAATGTACATTTCTGTTGTTGATCTTGTGGCTGATGCTTCAACTTAATGGTCTCTAAATCTTATGTAGATTTTTTTTTTTTTCATGCAGTAGACCTTAATAGCAAGACTTCTAATTTTCGCAAACTTACCTGTAAGAATAAGTTCATGGGAGAAAACTGTCACAGAGACAGTCCTAAGCTTGCTGAGTTTAAAAATCACCATATTCTTTTAGTGTTCTCCATCAGATAAATGCCTGTAGCATATACAAAAGAAATTTTATTTTAGAGGAAATTATCTATATGCAATTCATGCTAGTCTAAAATATAGCAGACTTGCAAATATCCATAAAATGGCAAAGAGATCAGGAAGGGGACACTGATGTGTATATGAAGTGAAAGCTGGAGAGTAAAGTGAGCTGAAAAGGCGGGAGAACAGAGGGAGCCACAAGGAAGGAACTTGAATTAAAGGAAGTGGGGAAGATAGGAAATGGTGCTGCTGAAGAAGATGTATTCACCTAAACGTGGGGGAGTGATGTTCGCAAAGCCAAAAGATGGCTGGGGAAGAGAATGGTAGAGGGCAGTAAGCTGGGGATGGACAGAACAGCAGTGCACTCTGCCCAGGAGAGAGAAATGGAGTCTCCTTCAAGCATATAATAGGGAAATGCGCTTCTGTGTATTAAAATAGTATTGAATCTCATTTTTGGCCGAAGTGTAGTTAGAAGCCCCCAAAAGCTCTGTGTGTTGATTCAAAGGCAGTCAATATTTGGTGCAGAGCCATTGGTGGTGTGTTACATGTGTGCTGACATTTCTGTGCTATGACAAAAAGAGAGATTAAGTAATGCCTGTTGGAAGGGGGAAATCTTGTCACATTGGTTCATCTAAATAGATGGAGATCATTTTTAGAAAGATAGCTTGACATGAACAAAGTGCATTATAAAGCTAAACTAACAGTGGCTTATAAATGGTGTGAAATACTGCATAAATCAAACTCCTCTGCCATAGAAACCATAGTAATTGTATTTTTGAGTACCTCTTGAAGTTGCTGTTACTTTTCTTTTTTTTTTTTTTTTTTTTTTTTTTTTTGGTTATATGTTTACAGCAACATATTTAGAGCATTGTGTGTAACTACTACATAGTTTGAAAAAAATTGTTTGGTGAGAATAAGAATATGAACCTTTATATGAATAATGTCTGTTAATGGAATTATACCCTGGTTTGCTGTGCAGTGGGAGTGTTTCAAAATTGATTGCCTTTTTCAGATTTCAGTATGTGAAGGAACTTTCTGCAGTCCAGGTAGGAAAATCTTTGACAAGTGAAATGTTAATAAGTGGCTGCATAAAAGTTGAGAGTAAAAAAGGAGTACCAATTGTTTTTATACCTTGTATTAGTTATCAGATGTCTTCAAATAGACACAGTTATGAACAAATGTTTATTTATAATTTTATTAGATTATTTAGCATATCACAACTTTCCTACCAAGTGGAGCTCTTCCAGCAGTTATTCCTAGCAACACCTACTTACACATGAAGAGCCACCTTGCCAGCTGCATATGACTGTTTGATATTGGTGTTTTTCCTATATCATACTCTGATCTGATGTTAACCTCTTGTTCAGTTTCAAACTTCAGGTTCTCATTAAGACCTAGCCATTTTGGTTGTAAGTTGAAAGAATAGACATGTTTGGATTATAGTATTTTTTTTAAATACATTCAACAAAAGGATTGGAGGATAAATTAGGCTGACAGTAAGCAAGCTTATAGTTTAATAGGCTAACAATGCAGGTGGTTCAGCTTCCCAGTTATACACAATACTGTAGAGTGAACTTTTAAAAAACTTTTATAAATCCCAACTAACTGTGTTTACTCTTTAGACCAATACTATTAATTTTATAAAATCGAAAAATTAATTGTAAGAACAATACTCATTGCTCTGTGTGTGTGTATCTGGCATCATCTTTTGGTTAGATGTTTTTCTTCTAAACATGTTGAGTAACAAGAAAGAAAGTCCTGTCTCTGGCAGGATCACCTATTCTAGCACTACAATAAAGACAAATTTTCTGTGAAAAACTTATAAAAACTTTTTCCACATAAATAACTTGCTTTTGATTTCTGTTTCTGCAAGAAGTCAGTGTAACTGATTCTGCATAGTGATTTAGTTTAAGTAATTTTTAAAATAACCCTGAATTTTCAGACGCTACTGTTTCAGACATCTGAAGTGACCCAGTAATTCTAAAATTGTTTCTGTATAAGATATCTAAACTTCTGTAGCCATTGATTTGCTTCTGAATTAATTCTGATTCCTAAAAATCTTGGATGCTGAATATTGATTTACTAGCATATGGTACAAATCTGGCAGTGAATGCTTCAATGGGTATCTGAATGCAAAACAAACAAAATTAGACCTTCTCTGAACAGGCATTTTTCTGCACTTTTCATTAGCACTCTGTGTCTGTGTAAAGGGAACTTTGTTTAAAATGCAGCCTTTTTCACAGATACTACATTTGATTATCAACTAGCAAAACAACTCTACATGTGTGTATTACATGTACATGTGTAATACAGATAATGTAAATATTTGATATTATTAATGTAAAAATATTAATGTAAATATTTGATGCCAGTGCTGAGGCTATGTCAATTTGCTTCCATTCAGTGACTGCTAATTATTATCTCAAATCAGTAAGTTGCCTGTACTTTGCCATTTTTATATTATTTTCGCTAGTCATTATTATTATAGGTGTAAGCCTGTGTGTTAGAACTCTTCAAGAATATATTAAATGGGTTCTGACATATAGATTTTATGGAAAAATAAATGAGAACATAACCATTATCATGACCTGTAATAGATTTTAGCTTTAATGAGGCCTAGTAGATCATGTCCTATTATTTCCAAAACTGTGCTTTTAAGGTTTCTTCACTCACTGATAACCTAGAAAGCATGATATACCTCTGGGAAGCAAGAAAGCTCATAATTCCAGCAGAACATCTTGCACGATTAGCAAACAAATTTGGTTTTGATTTTTTTTTTTTTTTTTTTTTTTTTTGTTTGTTTTTGGACCATAGTATCAGTAAATGTGGTTGTGAGGGAAGGAGCCAATCAAAACTGGGAAATCCTTCTCAAAATAAGAAAATACCTGCTAGGATATTGTGGAGATCTGTGCAGAAAAGCCTGATGAATAGCTGGCAGAAGATGCAAATTCAGCTTTATGTTGATGTTACAATTTCCAATAATTAGCAGCTTCAGAATGGTTAGAAAATGAAAATGTAAATTACTCCTCCCTCCCTCCCAAGCCCTCTCAAAGAAATGTCAGTGTCATTTAAGTCTGACTGGTGTTTACAAGTATCTATCCTCTCTTAGTATTGTGTGAAGCCATTAAAATAGTCTGGGTTGGACTGTGGTTTTTTTACAAAGCTACAAGACTATATTCTATAATGAAATGTCACTTGGGGGCACTACTGTCTTGAGTCAATAGGAAACTAAGAATTACGTTTTCAATTAGAATCAAGTAGATGCTAGTATCATTTTCATGTACTCTTAGTTATTTTCAGGAAGTTAAAAGCAAATAAAATATTTAAGATTTGAGGAGTTTTTAATGCTCCCAAGCTGTAACCAAGTTTATATTTTGCAATATGTAAAATGGAGCAGTAGATTTCAATGTTTTTCTAGTTTTGATTTTCATTGCAAATTTTCAGGTTTTTCTTTTACATCTCTGATCATGGTGATAATAGCACAGCACTAATAATGAGTCTAAGTGAATTTTCCACATGTAGTGATTGTTTCCCAGTGCCAAATTTCTTTTCTCCTTTTGGTGTAAGGGAAGTTTCAGCCAACTCATTATTTAAGTGCAGAACTGCATGCCACCAGCATGAAAGAAAATGTTCTTTCTCACAATGTGTTTTGTCTCCCAAACATCAGTGGCTCAGTTGAACAGACTGATTCCAGAGATTTACAGTTTGATACAAACAATAGTAGAATACCTTCTTACTTTTGTATAGCAGCCATTGCTATTCAAGTATGTTCTGTAATTGGTAACTTTTTGGAAAAACTAGGCTTATGATGCCCTTTTACATGTATTTTTCAAATGAGGTCACCAGTTCATCTGCACAGACATAGAGCAGGAAGATTAAAACTTAAAACCCTTAAAAAGAACTGTGCAGCCTGCATGCATCCCCAGTACTGTCCTAAAGATTCATTTAAGTATTTGTGCTGTTTGCTGGTGACTCATACTTGTTCCATGACTGGTGAGAAACTCAGCCTAACAGGATCTTGACAGTCTGTAGTTTAGATTATTGTATGCCCTTTAGAGTCTGCTGGGATGCAGTACCAAAACAAATCTAATTCTCCATCAGAGAGGCTTAACAAAGAGCAGAAGCAGCTCCACCATCACTTAAACTGGCATCCTGCTTCTCTCTAGCTCTGATGTCCTCCTAGCCCAAAAGTGAATTGACTGCAGGGAAACTAGCCAGTGCAGCCAGCTTGAATTAAATTCTGCTTGACTTACTGAAAAGCAGTAGGTTGGATGCAGTGAGATATCTCCTGGGAGGGGGAAGGAAGAACTGGATTTGGTTGTCTGCTCTGTGGACAGTTTTATTAAGAAATATATATACATATACATGGATTCCAGGATTCAGCTGGTGTATGTTTTGTTTGTGGGGACTTGAAGATACAATTCTCTTATGCTTCTACATTTCTATTTCTTACATTCTTCAGCTCTGTGATTCTAAATTGCCCAATTTAATATGCATTTCTTGGTCCGTACTTGTTAAGGCTTAAATATATTCTATACCGGATCTACCATACTGATGAATGACTTACAAGGATTTTGTCATACCTACTAATTTGTTTTTTCTGTGGTTTTGCATGATGGGCTTAGAGTTACAC